ATGAATATTTAAGATACGCAAATTTCCTGCCTGTATAGACCATAAAAAGCAATTTTACTCAGTGGAAATTGATGCATAGAATACCTGTACGTATTTACCATGGGGGGAAAGGGTTATAAATCACCCACGGATCCCATTACTCAGTTATTATCATTGATGGATTAATTGCGCTCAGGCACAATTTAACAAAAATATATTTAAGCACAAATAACAGCAACAGATAACAATCAAGCCACAGTGCATCTCTGTGAGAGGTGTACACACTATACACAAGATAAATTGTGAAAAAAACCAACAACGTTCAAACGTGCAACACTCAGAATAATTAACGTTTGTGCTCAACAACTTGAAAGGAAAAATAATATTTACACATGGAAGCTCGGGAAAATGAACATTTGCATGCATAGGCTGAGAAAAATGCAGAGTTCGTGTTCTCATAGATGGGTGTGAAAATGGACACGAAATATTACCATAAAAATGAGTGTGTGAGCCTTTTGAGGTCACAATTTAACAATCAATTGCACTTGCATTTTGAATTTTACAGTGGATAATACACATTTATGATATGCCGTACTGTGCATGTGTGTGGGTGTGGAGCGGTGGTGCAGTGGTTAGTGCACTGCACTAAACACCCAGCAACCCAAGTTCAATTCCTGGCCTCGGGTACCATCCGTGGTGAGTGATATCGGAACTAATGCTGGGTACCGCTTCGCCAAACAAACCCCATGATTGACATAGCTTGGAGAGGCCTTAATCTAACAGTACATTGGCAAAGGACTGTGAGTTATTGTTCATTATTATAGTACATCTATAAAGTGACCTAGTTGAACAAAAATACAGAAGCAGAACTCATTCTTTTTCCACATACTGTATACATGTAAATATGTTTTAGTCCATCACCTCATTAACTTTCAAGAACATGAATAACAGGATTATCAAATATTATCCAGCAGAAGTGTGGTCACGACATCAACCCCTCTATATAAGGAACGGAGGGAGTTGTAATTACGTCGTACTCAGATTGTAAATGTTGTGGCTTGGCTCTCCAACACACCGGTGTGCTGTACTAGTGACGAATTGGCACGTTCTGTTTACATGACAACCCTTACGAGTTGGCTGTGTCGGGTGGTGGCGGGTTTTAACGAAACTTTTATATATATTTACGCGATCTAACCCAAAAAACCTCTTATGGATGATATTGGTCGCGAAAGCCTACTAGGTGTTAAACTGAATAATATTGTTTTACAGATTCTTCTGGGTTACCAGACGTTATTGGTAAGATCACTCCATCGTATGGGGCCCTGTTCAACACGCACAAAAAAATAATTGGAATAAAAAATACAACATGTACGGCAAAAGTGCGTGCGTTTCCAAGTTAACAAATTCCCTTTACCAACTCATCGTTGACATTGAGAAACCCATATAATTAAATCGGGCACGCGTTTGCCGTACGAATCTAATGAGTGTCCACAGCAGTGCCAAGCGCAGTTGCACATGCAATGATAATTACGAAGTGGAAACCAAACTGCGGTGGTAATTGCGGACAGCTCTGGGAGACGATGAGACCCATCGCAGTCGGTGCCATCACACCTCTCCCATCGCCACCCACACGACCCACAACCCTCCCTCGCGCCTTCCCACTGGCGTGGGTCACACGCACGCCCCTAGGGAGGCACGGTGCTACCCGCACCGCGCACCTCGGTTTGTCGGCACTGCAATATTCCGGACCACACAAGTCAAAGTGGTATCCTCTTTAAATGTGCATTGGGGCGATTCTCATCTCCACTTTACAGTTCTGAGCTCGGGGTGGAAATTCCACATTCCTATGTCAGGGGCGAGTCTATCTATAGGGCAACCGTTGTTGACTTCCCCCAGACAAAGTGGTGTTTGTTTTATCAGCCCGATCACAACTCGCTATCGTTGCTTGTTTTTTTTTCTAAAATAATGTATTTCTTAGAATTGCGTTTAGGAAATAACAAATTCAATCAACCAGGTTCTAAATAAATGGTTGTTATCCATTAAATTTGCGCGATATTTTTTTTACCCGAGTAAGTGAAGGTGCGGCGATTCAATTGCGTTATCATTTCCAAAGCTCGTTTGACTATTTTGTCAGTTTTAGTGAAACAGACAACGTGTACATAGGGAAGTAAATAATTGACAATTGTTCAGAGCGATGTGATTCTCGGGAGATTCACACTACAAGCGTTGAATAACTTTGAACTAATCTTTATTCATACTCGAAATGAAGAAACACAATAATAATGTAAAATACAATTACAGGGTTACGGGAGACTATCGTGATAACATTAACAATGTGAAACGTAATATCGCATCTTCACGGTACGATATCTCCAGAAATTATATTTCGGACACCCGAATAGTTACAGCCGTCACGACCGAGCAGTTCCTCAGGCCTTTGCTCACGGAGCAAGGCAGAGAGGTTCGCCTGTCATGCTGTAGTTACAAGGCTGTATTATCAGCAGAGAGGTTTGCCTGTGATGCTGTAGTTACAAGGCTGTATTATCAGCAGAGAGGTTCGCCTGTCATGCTGTAGTTACAAGGCTGTATTATCAGCAGAGAGGTTTGTCTGTCATGCTGTAGTTACAAGGCTGTATTATCAGCAGAGAGGCTTGCCTGTCATGCTGTAGTTACAAGGCTGTATTATCAGCAGAGAGGTTCGCCTGTCATGCTGTAGTTACAAGGCTGTATTATCAGCAGAGAGGTTTGCCTGGCATGCTGTAGTTACAAGGCTGTATTATCAGCAGAGAGGTTCGCCTGTCATGCTGTAGTTACAAGGCTGTATTATCAGTAGAGAGGTTTGCCTGTCATGCTGTAGTTACAAGGCTGTATTATCAGCAGAGAGGTGTGTCTGTCATGCTGTAGTTACAAGGCTGTATTATCAGCAGAGAGGTTTGCCTGTCATGCTGTAGTTACAAGGCTGTATTATCAGCAGAGAGGGTTGCCTGTGATGCTGTAGTTACAAGGCTGTATTATCAGCAGAGAGGTTCGCCTGTCATGCTGTAGTTACAAGGCTGTATTATCAGCAGAGAGGTTCGCCTGTCATGCTGTAGTTACAAGGCTGTATTATCAGCAGAGAGGTTTGTCTGTCATGCTGTAGTTACAAGGCTGTATTATCAGCAGAGAGGGTTGCCTGTGATGCTGTAGTTACAAGGCTGTATTATCAGCAGAGAGGTTTGCCTGTCATGCTGTAGTTGCAAGACTGTTACGGCTCTTGTGTATTGCTTTGTTTATATGAGAGCGTTACTGTGAACTGTGTCAGACGATAAGGAGTGGTTCAATGAGGCGCTTTGAGTGGCGGGCTTTAGGAGGCTCGGCGAGTTTCCGCTGGGTTTCACCGATCTGTACCTTCAATGGACTTGGGAAGACAAGTGAACGGTGTAATAGTAGGACATGCACGTGATAATTATCGATTATAATCGTGTCAGAGCACTGGTATGAGACAACGTTGGGAGCTTGGCTGCGTGCGCTTTATTCTGTAGTCTCAACTGGAGTGAGTTCATGGTCTCAGTCCCGTGACCAATGACTCTTAAAAAAAAAAGAACCCCATAATGTTCCAATTTGTTCCACTGTTCATTTGGCTAAACTCTACCTCTTGAGAATGTATAACATTTGTTAGACGGTCATAGGATGATCTTTCTAACAGAGCGGGTGGAGAAGTGCAGCTGCTAGCTATGTGGACCAGAGGTGACTTGCAGAAGTGGTGTTGTGATATTCGCTTCCGTTGGCCGATCCCTAAAGCAAAAGGACTGCACTGACCTGGGAGAGATCCGACATCACTGTTCATCTCGACCGATTACAGGGATACAATTGGGAGGAAGAGACAAAAACACCAATGTAGACATTCGTGTTTCCCAGGTTCATTAAATAAAAATGCTTCTGCTTTTGTTTTCAAATCTTTTGTCCCTTTTGTCTTTGATCCACAGCAATATCTTTCAAATTGGTCTTAATCGTGTGCATTTAGCACAATTATGATGCTTTTAGCACAATTACGTTGCTTGTTAACATAACGTGCGCTTTAATATTTTGGCAGCCTTATCTCTAAGAATGGGTAGCCTGGAGCTATGCTGAGCGCATGGAGGTGGTCTGATGGCACGGGGAATGGATGACGAAGCTGGCACCAATGTGTTCCTGGGTTTGAAGCTGGATAGAAACCTCTAATTAAACCGGACTTAAGAATACTGAGCTGATGGTCTCAATACCCAATGACTGCACAATACATGAGATGTATTTGTTGTTTTAAATTAAATTGGCTTCATTTCACCTCTGAAACTTAAAATGTTCGATTTCATTGACATACGGAAACCACTTGTGTTGTTGTTGTCACTGTGGAGACCGGGAGATCGATGATCGAGATGTTTAGGTTGCCGCGTTGACGGCATTCGTGGTGATCTCTCACCGAACAGGGTGGGCAGCGTGACGGGTGCTGCCATCTTCCACTCCTACACAAACACTCATGGCAGGCGATGAAGGAGGCCCACTGACCGCAGACACGATATGCCGGGGGCCAACTTCTCACACAGGGTGATGCACTGCCAGCTGCAGACCTGCGAACCGGGATGATTTTGCATCTCACGACAACATTATACCGATATTAAATGTAATAATATAATTGGGAGAAAAGACGGTATAACTAAACATTTCAAAGAGGACAAGTCGATGCGTAACCAAACGCTTGCCAGTCAAAGTGAACATGTACACTTGTGAAAAAAAATATGATTCGCCGTGGTGTATTTGTGAGCTGTGCATTTGTTCAAGTGTATTTTGTTTAAGCACGTGGCAAGTCAAAGAGACCAGGATAAGTCGCATTGGCAAGGGTGACCTGGGTCACCAACATGACAAACGGTCAAATATCATGTCAAGATATTTTGTAATTGACTAAAGTAACATCTCAACAATATGCGCACGCTCTCCGTCTCATTGTATAACCTGCAGGTGCGAGCTAAAGGCGGAGTGATGGCCCTCTGACCGAGACAATCATGATGTCCGAGCACGTGGTGAGCAGCGGCCACATCAAGCGCCGTCGCGTGGACACGGGCGTCAAGAGGAGCGCCAGCGCGGGCCTCTCCTCCTTCCTCCACTCCAAAACCACGCTCGCCCGAGCGCTGAGCGTCGCTCGCAACGTTGCGCAGCCGCCCGCCTGCAACGGGGAGGGCGGCGCCAACTCGCGCCGCCCGCACGCCGATTGCGACGAGGCGCCCTTCCCTGCGGGGGGAAACTGGCGCGCGGAGGAGCCGGCGTTCTTCGTCGAGCAAGCCAAGGAGTTCTCGCGCTATGCCGCGGCGTCGCAGCGCGTGGCGGGCGCGTTCGGCGGCGCCCGCTCGCACGGGGACGGCCGCCCGACTCTTGAGCACTTCCTGGACGAGCACCTGAAGGCGAAGCGCGCCCGCGTGGAGACCATCGTGCGGGAGATGAGCGCCCTGCCCGCGCCGTCCGACGAGGTCGCGTGCGAGCAGGACGCCGCGTGCCCGCCGCAGGGGAGCTTAGGTCACGGTGGCCGCGGAAGCAAGCGGAAGCAGCGGCTCCCGCGGCAGCAGCAGCAGCAGCAGCAGCTGCTGAGGACTGGGAGGCACCGCGAACGGAGGCACCTCCGCCACCAGCTGAGGGAGATGCAGTGGCAGCTGCAGGAGCTGCAGGAAAAGTTCGTGAAGATCTTCGAGAGCAGCGACTCGGAGGTCGCCGAGGTCTCGGACGACGGCGCTCAGTCTGCGAGCGACGTCGCAGATTCCCTGGCGTCGTCCGACGACTCCTCCTCACCGCCGGTCGAAGGTCCGGACACGGAGCCCAAAACGAATCGGCCCTCGCGCGTCGACGAGGCGAACGAACGCCCGCCCGCCGGCGGGCCCCACAAGAAAGAGGCGCAGCTCGCGGAGAAGCTGAAGCAGGAGCTGAGCACCACCATGTCCCAGGTGGTGGACACGGTCGTCAAGATCTTCTCGCCCAAAACGCAAAAGCCGTCGTCGTCGCCCAGCACCCCTGAGATGCGGGAGCCGGTCCCGGCCGTCAGCGCGAGGAAAGAGAAGACGACCGCTTCCCAGCAACCGTTGCAGGGGCCGGAGAATGCACCGGCCGTCGGTCCCCTGGAATGCTTCCTGGGGCTGCCCGTCGCAGAGCAGCTGGAGGCCCTGCCCCTCGTGGTTCAGAAGCTGCCGCGTGAGCAGCCGCCTCAGAGCAGTGCCCAGCTGCCTCACCAGAGCTATCACATCCCTCCTCCTCCTCCTCCTCCGACGGGGCTCGACCCGGTGAGCTTCTGTGGCCAGGGGTACTCCCCGTGTCTCCCGCACCCATTGATGGCCTTCCCCCTGCAGCTCACTCACCACATGGGCCCCAGGGCTAGGGACGGACTGCCCCCGGAGCTGAGGAGCATCGAGCAAGACCTGGCCAGCGCCAGCCGGACCAAGCCGAGCCGGCACCCGGGGCCTCTTCGCTACCACATGCCCTGCTCGCCGGACATCAGCCGGACCCCATCCAAAGGTCTGCTCTTCCCACTCGTCAAGTCGGAGGGATACAGCCTGCAGGAATATCAAGATATGTGCCACTACCAAGAAGCGACCATATCCTTTTAGAGCAAGATGCTGCGCTACTGCGTAGGTTCCACGGTTGCGTTTTCGGGTGGGTACCACGTACAGTTCGGCACGATGTCCGACGTTTCGCTCCACGTGATGGGGAGCTTCCTTTGGGAGCCGCTTTCTTTAATTTAGTTCCTGGAGAAGCTCCCGGTAAGTGTATTAAAATGACAACTCGACATCATAGCGAATAGCGAATGGCGTGGCGTGTCTGCTGGTGTGTGGTCAGTAGCTAGGAAGCGAGGAATGTGTCGCAGCTGTCATGCGAAGTCTTCTGTGTGATTTGGTTTCTTTTCAGAGAAAGGAAAGAAAAACAAAGCATGAATCACAGTTGAGTTATCTATCACCAAATGTCAACATTGTTGCAATGTGATGTCGGAAAGCCTGTGCATTTATTTAGAGTCAGCTTAAAAATACGTATTGCAGGTACCAGATACAATATTAACTGAATACATTGTTGTAATAAATATAAACACACAGTGCAAGAACAATATATCTTAATGTGTTAATAATTGCATTTAAGTTATTACTTTACAATTATGTAAATACTAAAAAACATGTTTATATGCATTATTTATTTACAAACGTTTATCCAAAATTGTACACGTTACTTTCGAAGATAAACATTTGTGAGATGCTGTCGAGTTTAAATGTGAACTATTGCAAACCACTGAGATGTGACATCTAATGATAAAGCATGTAACATTTACACCTGACATACAACCATATAATTTATTTAAATGATCGAAATTAGGTTGCGATGACAATATAACAGTTGGCAGAAATTGAGGCCAATTGCTTACCTTTGGGTGCCAATATAAATACATTTTCTAGATGTTAAATGAAAGTATCGGCAGGAGTCACAGGAGTTACGTTCATTATAAGCAGCGACAGGAGTTTTTGTAGCGTTAGCAGCGGTGGCCTTATCTTAGCACTGCTCATGGCAGAAGAGTTGTGACAATTAGTACTATTTTTAAAATATATTTCTTAATGTTTTTATTCATATTTGTTTTTTGAGTGTTTCAGTTACTTAATTATTATTAGCTCTTTCGGTAAAGTCACGTTGAAGGGAAACAATTAAATAATAAAATATATATAAAACAATAAAAATTCTCACGACGTTTCGACCATAACACAAACGGTCACCCTTGCCAATGGTCGAAACGTCGTGAGAATTTTTATTGTTTTATATATATTTTATTATTTTATTGTTTCCCTTCAACGTGACTTTACCGAAAGAGCTAAGAATATGAATTACTGCAGTCACGAAAGCTTTAAATCAAAATTTACTTAATTATTGCTATAAATAGGACTTAGTGCTAAACGTGATGATGCGTATAATTACTGTACAGCGTTGTGAGATGCAATTAGCATGAATGACGCTATATACAACTGATTTGTTATTATTAAACAGGAACTGTAGATATTCTCTGGGTCTTTCGGTAAAGTCACGTAGAAGAAAATAACAAAAACTACGACGTTTCGATCGCAACACAAGCGGTCGTCATCAGGAAAAGGGGGTTAGCCTCGCAAGGCAAGCTGTCTATAAAGGTTTGAAATGGGTGTAGCCCAAGTGTCAGCAGCATGGGCGGGGCAGCGAATGTCAATGTGAGTGAGGGGACTCGTCGAGGTCGACGAGGGCGCTGGTGGTGGGTTTCCACCAACTAAAGGAATGCCAAGTAATCAGTGCACCTCGCTTTAGACACTCGCACTGTTGACGGTGGGGGTTGCTGTAAACATCTCTCCGATGCATAATTGGGTCATACCACCTGTTGTTCGGCACGATGTTTCCATGTACTTGCTGAGATATTTTTTTTCTAGAATACTTTGATACTTGCATTGTCTTTGTGCTGTTCGCCTTTTGGCGTTGTTCTTTGGTCCAACAACGGTGGTGAGACAAGGTCATGAAGGAGGCTGTCTCTGGTGTCAGCCAATCAGTTTGAAGGACAATGCGTACATTATTATTAGAGCACTTTGTTTTCATATTTTACCACGAGCAAATGTGGTTCATGCAGTCTGAGACATCAAGAAACCGTTCGACACCCAAATGGGATTTGAATTCGTCAACTGAATGTGGGCAGTTTAACACATAGGCTTATTATGGATGAATGTGGGCAGCTCACCCTGCCAGGTCAAACTATACAAATATATAAATATATACAGCACAGCATTTCAGCCATTCCCAATCCACCAATCGATGGATGCCTCTCCACACCATTGTCAGCCATGGGGCTGTTTGACCATACCTCACCACGCCGGTCAGCGCAGTACGCTCACCACTCGAAACAATAGGCCTCGTCCACATTTACTTTGAGGAATTGTTTAAATATATAAATAACGTAAGATATCCAAGCCACTTATTGTAGTTGAACCGATCTTAAGTTCCCACGAAATATCAAATACACTTTTAAATTAACTACAGTATTAATATTACAATTTTTGTTATACATTCAGTTTTATCATTTCACGCACCTTTAGCAAACTTCCGACCTAAAAAAAGATAAAGTTAACTTATTTTTAATCCTTTCAATTTTAACTTTTTATGGATTGTGTTTTTTTAATCCTTTAGTCTCTTTTGACATGTAATTTTAATCAAACTGTAATAATAATGCATATATCAATTTAACACAAGTACGACTGCATAATAACCACCGTAATTAATTCACTTTCATCTGAGCACTATAAGATCACAACCTTGAGTGGCTCCTCGTAGATTCTAGAATTGAAATTTTCGTGACTGCAAGGATTCATACTCTTTGTTTTTTTCGGTAAAGTCATGTAGGTAAAAAATTTAAATAAATTAAATCACGACGTTTCGGGCGCAACACAAGCGTCCTTCTACAACTTAGCGAAAGCACACACACACTGAAGCGATGTGCTTTAGCTAAAGCACACACACACTGAAGCGATGTGTGTGTGTGTGTGTGCTTTAGCTAAAGCACACACACACACACTGAAGCGATGTGTGTGTGTGTGTGCTTTAGCTAAAGCACACACACACACTGAAGCGATGTGCTTTAGCTAAAGCACACACACACACACTGAAGCGATGTGTGTGTGTGTGCTTTAGCTAAAGCACACACACACACACACTGAAGCGATGTGTGTGTGTGTGCTTTAGCTATAGCACACACACACTGAAGCGATGTGCTTTAGCTAAAGCACACACACACACACACTGAAACGATGTGCTTTAGCTAAGTTGTCCCCATCTGAAGAAGGACGCTTATGTTGTGCCCGAAACGTCGTGATTTAATTTATTTAAAAATTTTACCTACGTGACTTTACCGAAAAAACCAAAGAGTATGCTCCTCGTAGACTTCATTCATTCTTTCCCGTACTCTCCTCTGTAAGCCATGCCAGCAGTACAATCGGGGGCACCACAGCGCAGCCAATTGTCAGATCGCCTGTGGTGAGGTAAAGCTTTGGCCACTCCCCGCATCTTCCAAGATGTCTTGCCAATTGTTTATGAGTAGACCAAAATATTCTCTCTCGAGGGGGCTCACTCGAGCACCGTCTAGACAAGGCCCTTTCACCAGCAGTGGCGTGAGCAACGAATTGCAGGGCTGCACCTTTCCCTGTTACTACACCGTTATGACCACGATTAATTGAAGCATTCCCCTACGGATCACGACCTCGAGCAGCTCTTCAAAGACAACACAAATGTATCCCCATAACCTCTCCATGACATATTCCCATAGCCTCTTTTTAGAAAACCGATTCATGATCACCGTTGTATAAGAAAAATAAAACATATACGTAGGTATACATTCCTTAAGAAAATCACTCGTCAACAGGGCTTTCTGAAGCCTTAAAACTATAATGGTACCACCAATCTTGATTTGAAGCTTTCGTGACTGCAGAAATTCATGCGCTTTGGTTCACCAACTTTCTTTTATTTTTTCACCCCCAACATCCTCCAAACGTTTTCAAAAGACAAAATCAAGACGCGTAAGCCGAGGTAGGCTGTTCTCTCATCGCGAGCATGTAGGCACCAGCACGCCCGCGTCTCGTGAGAAGTCAACGCCGACTGCGTCTCGCAGCTGTCCGATCCTTGCCATGCGCGCCCTTGACGTCAACCTTGCCGCTGCGTCACCAGACGGCATTCACATTCCATGTAACCTTCTAAACAATCGGCAATCACATTGCTGTACAGCCGGTGCCCATGTCACCCACAGAGAACATCGACGGACATTGTGCTGCCTGTAGCAAGTGCACGTGTTTCGTGTTGTGCCTGTATTGCGAGGGCGTGCATCGCAGCTCATGCTTTGGCGTTCTGCTTCCACGCCAGGACCTTGGCTGTCACCATCCTCACTCACCCTGCCGCCTTCTCTGTGCCCTCTGCGGTCGCCCCCTTCAGCTCCTCCAGCTGCCCGATCCTCACGGGACCTGTTTTGGCCATTATCGAAATGATGCAAACAAAAATTGGCTTTACCGCTCCCGGCAATAAAATGTATAACTTCTCAAGCGGAGCTATTCATACTTGATGCTTGCATTGCCTTTGTACTGCTCGCCTTTTGGCGTTCTCTGGTCCAACACCGGTGGTGAGGCTAGGCCAGTCATAAGGCTCTCTCTGCTGGAGGGCAGTCAGTTTCAAAGCCAACACGTTATCAGAGCACTGTGTTTGCATGTTTTACTACATATGTTATCAGAGCACGTGTGTTTGCATGTTTTACTACATATGTTATCAGAGCACGTGTGTTTGCATGTTTTACTACATATGTTATCAGAGCACGTGTGTTTGCATGTTTTACTACATATGTTATCAGAGCACGTGTTTGAATGTTTTACTACATATGTTATCAGATCACTGTTTGCATGTTTTACTACATATGTTATCAGATCACTGTGTTTGCATGTTTTACTACATATGTTATCAGAGCACGTGTGTTTGCATGTTTTACTACAAGTACGTGTGGTAAATGCAGACTTGACGCCTCGCAATAGGTGTGTCTATTTGGTGTTTGCACATCTTAACGCCTTCTGTTTTATTGCCAGAA